GCTGGTCCTTTTCCAATGCGGGGCATCGCCCGATTGGTTGGGGAGAAGGGCTTCGAGAGATATCCCGACTACGTCTCTGTGGGGGAGATTGGAGACGTTCCTCTGCTTGTCGAGGAGGAGGAGACTGAGGTCTCATGTGTCTTCTGGGGGATCTCTGAGCATCTTCGAGCACCCTTAATATTTCTCCTTGAGCGAAGATCAAGTAGTTGGTCTGATTTATCATCGCAAACAGTGCCCTGGTCGTGGCGTCTGCTCTGGCGGGAACAGGGACCTCATGGAACTTTTAAGCAATAATTTCAAATGTGAGTTATTCTTATTTTAAGGCGCGATTTTATATTTTTTGGCAAGTGTAATGTGGCCTAAAGTAATTAATGTTGTGTGATTTAATTTCAGTCATTTACTTTTCTTTGTATTTTTCCTTCAATTTTTTGATGTTATCTTTATTTTTAACTGTATTGACACAAACTATTTTTTTTAGTAATCAATCTTAAAGTAATTGCAAATTTTTAATACCATATTTCACCCCTCCTCCTGTGCTTGGAGTTACTTGTTCATCAAGTGTTATTAGATTCTAACTCAAGTTAAAGACTAATCGCCCCATGAGGAAGTAAATGACTTCAGGCGATTTAATAAACAAACCCTCGTCCTTTAATGGAGAATGGTATAGTTTGGGGTAAGAGAATATGAGAATATTAATTGAGTGGATGGATCATGGTATTTGGAAGGTTTTGAAAGAATGCTCATTTGTTCCCACACATGAAGTCAATGGTGTTGTGGTGAACAAAGGAAATGAACATGATTTGACCTAAGATGAAAAATAAAAGGTGCAACGTAGTTTAAAAGCTAAAATGATCATCATTATTGCTCTTGGTCTTGATGAGTTTTTGTATATTTCTCTCTGCGATACTGCAAAGAAAATGTGGGATACCCTCCAAGTTATCCATGAAGGTACTACTTAGGTAAAGAGGTTGAGATTTAACACATTAACCCTTGAGTATGAGCTCTTCAGAATAGACTTAAAGAGAACATTTATGACATGCAAAAATAATTCATTCATATCGTAAATTACATGAGAACTTTGAGGATAACTTTTTAAAATGAGGACTTGGTTGTAAAAGTCTTTAGAAGTTTAAACCATAGTTGACAACCTAAAGTTACTACCATTTACAAATCTAAGAACTTTTCATCCATGCACTTGGGCACTTAATTTGTTAAGTTATAGGAACATGATATGGAGCAGAAGAAACTTGTTGATAATGAAGAAGGTGACAAGAATAATAGGAAAAGTCTTGCACTAAATGTCACAAACACTAAGGATATGAAAATATAAGATGAATATAATAAAAAAGAAATTAATGAATACATGGAACTCATGTTTTGAAAATTTCTAAGGCACGATAAACAATCTTCGAAGCTTTAGAAGAAAAGTGAAAAAAGATCCTCATTCATTCCTACATGTCATAAATGTGGAAAGAAAGAGAACATAAGATCAAACAGTCTTCAAAATCCGAAAAGAAACCATAATTAGAGAAGGTTCAATAAACTTAGAGAATCAAATAGAACCTCCATATCTTGGGATAGTGATGATTTAGAATTATCAAATAAGGAAGAAGCCAATATACATGTCATGGATAATCATGAAGATATAGAGGTAACTTCCCACTTTTTTATCATGACTTATTTTGGATTTGCAACAAGTTACATAAATAAACGAGCAATTTGAAACAATTTGTCTCAAATTCTAAAGATACCATGTCCTTCATTAAAATTGAAAAATCAAAACATCATGGAAGAAGTGGAAACTCATAGAGAGGAACAAAGTGTTCAAAATCATGTCTCTTCCAGTTCACATAGATCTTAGTTGAGTCTGACAAGTATAACCAATGCGGAGTTTTAAATTATGAAAATAAATATTAACAAAACATGCTCGTAAGATTCACTAAAGGAAGAGACAACTAGAATCTCTTTCTTGTATATCAAATAGTATCGAATAATAAGGAGGACTTAGCTTATGAACTTGCTAATATTGTTAATAAGTTTGATAAAATTGTCTATGATCATAAAAAATCTAAAGCAAAACTCTTAATTATTTCAATAGAAATGTCCATACTTTATCAAGAAAAGTCATAAAAGTAAAATTGGTCATCCTGCCTCATATTTTTAAAGAAAGCATAATGAACATAAAATGAGAAACATGCATACTTCATTTGATATGTGCAATTATGATCCTGGTGTAAAATTTAGTGATAAATAAATTTATCTTACTAACACTAAAGGACTCAAAAAGAGTTGGGTACTAAAAGTAAAAAAAGTCAAATTATGGTGTAAATATAATTGATAGCTTGAATTCAAAAAGTGGATGCTCAAACATTTTTATTATTTTACTCCTACAAAATAATAAGGTTATTCTTATAGCAACAAAGGTAAAATTGTTTAGATCTGAAACTATTTGTAAAAGTCTTAATCCTTTCGTTGAGTTGTTATAGTTTTTTAAATCTTATAATAATTTACTTAATATTAAGTAATTTGTAAAGGTAATAGAGTATCATCTAATTATTATAAATGCATGGTCTTTAAAAACTATGAAATAAAATATTTTTCTCCTCTTTTTAAAACTTATTTTCGAAAAGACCATGACTATAGAAGAACTTATATATATTACCTTTATTGAACTAACCCTAGTAGGTAGAAGTAGAGGTTGTTGATTATGCAGGTATCTTGGAAAAGACATATGTAGAAGACAAAGATCAAGATGAGGATCAAGAAATAGGTTAAGAGAGAGAGAGAGAGAGAGAGAGAGAGAGAGAGAGAGAGAGAGAGAGAGAGAGAGAGAGAGAGAGAGAGAGAGAGAGAGAGAGAGAGAGAGAGAGAGAGAGAGAGATCAAAGTCACAATGGAGATGATTAACATGAAGAGGAAAACATGGATCATCATGATCTCTCGAAATAATGGAGGATTTCTATAGACCATCCGATCGAAATTGTTATCAGATATATTTCTAAGAGAGTTAAAATTTTACACTACTTTAGCATGGTATATAATCATATGGTCCTTATTTTTGAAATTGAGTCAGAGGAAATTGATGTCACTCTCGTCGATGAACATTGGTATCTTGCTATGCAAGAAGAGTTAAATCAATTTGAAAGAAATAACGTTTGAGAACTCGTTCCAAAAGCTTTAGCAAATCAAGTGATTGAACTCGTTGGATCTTTTGTAACTAGCTTTATGAAAGTGGTGTAGATTTAGATGAAACATATGCACTTGTAGCTTAATTAGAGGCCATAAAGAGCCTTTTCTTGCATAATGAAATTTCAACTCTTCCAAATGGATATAAAAAGTGTGTTCTTGAACTTACATCCAGTAGGAAGTGTTTGTTGATCAACATTCAAGTTTTACTAACCCAACCTTTACTAATCATGTCTTCAAGCTTAAAAAGGTTTTATATGGTCTGAAACAAGCTCCTATAACATGAAATGATTTTTTGAGCATGTTTTTGCTTGAGAACAATTTTCAGAGATCGAGGACAAATCGATAAAACTCTTTTTGTCAAAAAGTTTGAGCATGACACTTTACTTGTTCAGATTTAAGTAGACGATGTTATATTCAGTGCTACTAACTAATATTAGTGCATGAATTTTTCTAATATAATGCATAGTGAGTTTGAGATGTTCGTGATGGGGAGCTATGTTACTTCCTAGGACTGTAAATCCATTAACCAAAAGAAGAAACTTTCATAAATCAAGACAAGTATTGCAAGGAACTCCTAAAAAGGTTTGATATGGAGAAGTCAAAGGAAATTGATACTACAATGACTACTTCATACAATTTGGACAAAGATGAAGGAGGAAAGTCAGTTGAAGAAAGAAAATACTAAGGTATGTTCATTTCTCTCATTTATCTTTTTGCATCGCATCCTGATATTATGTTTGTTGTGTGTTAGTATGCTTGTTTTCAAGCATTCCCGAAAGAGTCTAATCTCTCTGCAGTAAATCGCATTATGAGATATCTCGTTGGCACACACCAAATGGGTTTATGATACCCCAAAGAAACAATAATTGTATCTTAGTTAGGTATTGTGACTATGATTTTACTAGGTACAAATTAGATTGAAAGAGTACGAGTGATATGTGTCACTTACTTGAAAACTACTTTGTCTCATGATATAACCAGAAATAAACAATTAGTGTTATTCACAATAAAGGCGGAATACATTGATGCAGATAACTATTGCACAAAAATTATCTGTATGAAGCACCAACTAAATAATTAGGCAGTTAGTCGGTTTCCACTTCCATATTAAATTTTATTATTTTTAAATGATTTTTTATTTTATTTTTATACACACACAAAAATTGTCTTACATACAAGTATTTGTTTTATAACTTGTTTCTTCTAATTCTTAAATATTAACACAACACTATTAAAAATGGAAAACATTCACATACATAAATAAATGCTTTAGCAGATGTTAGACTTTAGTATTCATGTTCTAGAAAAACAACCATCCTCTAATAATTTTATTTAAATCAAAAAATAAAGTAGAATACGTGTTTCATAAAATAAATCATTTGTATAATTTGTTAAGTATCATAAATAGACTTTAAAGAAATTTTTTAATATAATATATGTGTCCAATTAACTTGTCTATGATTCTATTCTTAAACATGTACAAAAATAACAAGTGTTTGCTTTCATGTGAGATTATCATTTCCAAGAGAATTGAAACCTTTCAAACAAACATATGTTAAATTTAATTTACTTGCATAACTAAATAAAACTTATCTTGATCATAAATAGAAACAGACGCTCTTAATGTAGCAAAATCTGGAGAAAAAAAAGTTATTTTTAGTTAGTTAAATCAAAAGTTAGGATAAAACATCCAATTAATTTTTCTATTCTAAGTCAAGTTTTCCAATTTTTAAGCTTAACCTTAACTTTCTTCATCTATATAAATAGAGGGAGGAACTTCCTCTCCTTGATGTAACATTTTTCTAAAAAAATATGACTTTCTCGAGTTTGATGAACGCCATTGCTTTAACCTTTTATATTATAATTTTAGCGTGGTATAGTCATCAAACTCGAGTTTTAGGTCATGGATTTTTGGGTAATTATGGAAAGTCTAGACCTTACGAAGAAGGTTTATGCGCTTCTTTGATCAGCATTCATGGCTACAAATGTCAAGAACTTGAGGTAAGAAAATTTTGAATTAGCAGCTTTGATTTAAAGGGTTTTTAGTTTACATTATTTTTATTTTCACAAGCCTTTCTTAATATTTAAAGATTTAAATTAATGTTATTGATCGCAAAAACTTTATTATAAGCAAAATGCAATTAATATTTTCAGGTTACAACTAATGATGGATACATTCTTAGCATTCAAAGAATTCTAGAAGGTCGAGTTAAGGTTGAAGGTAATGTCACTAAGGAGCCTGTAATTGTTCAACATGGAGTTATGGTGGTAAGTGAAATCACTTTTATTTTGTAGTTTTCTTTGGAATTACAATATCTAAGATAAATCATGTTATATGATATATTATTGAATATTTTGAGATATGGTTGTATATAGGATGGAGCAACATGGTTTATGAACAGTCCAGAGCAAAATTTGCCTATGATTCTTGCTGATAATAATTTTGATGTATGGGTTGTTAATACTAGAGGAACCAAATATAGTCGCAAACACACTTACCTAGACGCCTCTAGACAGGTTTTTATCTCTAAATTAAAATAAAATAAAATAAAAAACAAATTATTTTGATGTTTGAACCAATTGAATTGGCTTTTTTCTATGTAAAAACTTCAGGAATATTGGCATTGGTCTTGGGATGAACTGGTTACTTATGAAATGCCAGCTATTTTTGATTATGTCTCAAAGGAAACAGGACAAAAGATACATTATGTTGGACATTCTTTGGTAATGTATCACATATATAACATTTCTTATATATTAAATAATTTATATTACTAAAAATGCGACTTTGTTTCGCAGGGGACTTTGGTTGCTTTGGTATCATTAGCCGAAGGTAAATGGGAAAATCAGATAAAATCGGTGGCGTTGTTGAGTCCTATCGCATATTTGAGCCGAATTAAAACGGAAATTGGAGTTATTGCTGCAAAATCCTTACTCGGCGAGGTAAGGATTTGAATTTTTGGATTTGAATTTTCTACTGTCTGGAATTTTTTTTACAATAATTGTAGTTAGTCTATCTTAGACAATGAAAAAAATATCATATAATGACTTTTGCATAACAAAATCTTAGATTAATTTGAATTAATTATTTTGTTATGTCAACAGAGTTTAACTGTTTTGCACATTGCCGAATTTGATCCCAAAGGGTAAGAATATAAAAAATACAACTTTATCTCTTCATATTTTAATATATATATATATATACCTTACATAATTTAATATTATTTTCTTTTCGACATATTTTTTTAGGATTCCTGTCGCCGATTTTATTAAGAATATTTGTGTTGAAAATGGACTAAATTGCAATGATTTATTCACTTTAATAACAGGTTTGATTTTTTTTCCTTTATTAAAATTTAAATTTAAATTGACATAATTTCAGATAATATATTTTTTACTAAATGTATAATTTTTTTTAATGGTCCTATTTTAGGTCCGAATTGTTGTTTAGATAGAACAGCTTTTGATGACTTCATGAAAGTTGAACCACAATCTTCATCAACAAGAAACCTTTTACATTTAGCTCAGAGTAAGATTTTCACATCTAAACATTTTGTTAGTTATACATTGCACTTCAATCAATTTTAAGATCTAATCATACATTATGTTATAAATTTATGCAGCTGTTCGAACCGATAGATTGTCGAAATACGACTTTATGAGACCACACTTAAATTTGTTCCATTATGGACAACTGAATCCTCCGAGCTACGACCTCTCGAAAATTCCTAACAACATTCCAATCTTCATGAGCTACGGTGGTACCGATGCGCTCGCCGATGTCGCCGATGTTCAGAAGCTCTTAAATGACCACTTTCAGGACCATGACAAAGACAAGCTTAGTGTTCAATTCATTCCCAATTATGCTCATGGTGACTACATGTTTGCTACGAATGCTAATCAACTAGTGTATACAAATGTTACATCTTTTTTTAAACGTAAATTTTGAGATGTGCAATTTCTCTAATTTCCCTAATAGCAACAATTTTGGAAAATGTTACAAAATTGCTGTATGTGGGAAATTAACTTTGCTATCACTAAACTTAATGTAAGTTTTTGTCTAGTGATGGTAATAATATTTAGATTTTATTAAGAAAAAAAATTCCATATTTTTGGTATATATAGGTTCAAAGCAACACATGCTATTTCAGCATTTGCTTTGTAATAATATTCAAATTTGGAATAAAGGAAGCACATCCATCTTATTTTAATTGATCACCTACCTCGTTTAATATTTGTAATAAAATATATATATATATATATATATATATATATATATATATATATATATATATATATATATATATATATATATATATATATATATATATATATATATATATATATATATATATATATATATATATATATATATATATATATATATATATATATATATATATATATATATATATATATATATATATATATGTGTGTGTGTGTGTGTGTTTAATTAACTATATGTTCTAAATATGTGACTCATGACAACTTTGTTTAAAAGCCAAGCTTTAATAATCTTTATACCAACCTGAATATACTTTGAAGCCAATCCAAACTCTGAAAAAAAAAAAAGTTCTAGATGACCAAACTACTTTGTTGAAACAATTTGACACAATCATGAAATCCTTATATTTATTAATCAACAAGTCACTTTGTAAAGAATTCACAATTTAATATTTGTTAAGTGTAAGCACGTGATGGTTTTTGGCCTTGCTTATAAATATATGGGTGAATTGGTAGAAATGTTCAAACAAAAATTAATCTTTAAGAGAGTGGTATAGTAAAAAAAAAACATGGGGTGCAAGAACTTAATTTCGTTGGTGCTAATAGCAACTTTGATCACAAAAGAGGTTTTAGCAACACAACATGTTGTTGGTGGAAGCCAAGGTTGGGATCCATCCTCAGATTTTGATTCATGGAGTTCAAGCCAAACATTCAAAGTTGGAGATCAACTTGGTATGTTTCTTATCATAAAAAAGAAATTGTTTATGCTATCAATTGAACTTTTATCTATAAAATGTGATGAATGTCTATTTTATTTATTAATTTATTTGCAGTTTTCAAGTACTCTTCAATGCATAGTGTGGTTGAACTAGGTAATGAAAGTGCCTATTCAAAATGTGATATTAGCACCTCCCTGAACTCCTTAAGCAGTGGAAAAGATGTTGTGAAATTGGACAAACCAGGTACAAGGTACTTCGCATGTGGTACTTTAGGTCATTGTGGTCAAGGCATGAAGGTGAAGATCAATATAGTGAAAGGGAATGGATCTTCTTCTTCTGTGTCATCACCGTCGTCGTCACCATCATTGTCGTCTTCTTCTCCTACTTCTACTGATGCATCTTCAGCCTCACAATACTTTGCATCTCTTATGCTCATTGTAACACTATCTTTTGTCACAATGATTTCTCTGTTTTAATTGATGATATGAAGTTGAGTTTATATAATGTCATATTCTATAAATATGTAACATTGTTGAATAAATGACTGAGATGAGACTTACTTTATATATAGATTTTTAAGTTTTTTTCTCTCTCTATCTATATATATATATATATATATATATATATATATATATATATATATATATATATATATATATATATATATATATATATATATATATATATATATATATATATATATATATATATATATATATATATATATATATATATATATATATATATATATATATATATATATATATATATATATTGACAGTGTAAAATAATTTTACACTATCAATCAATTACGACCATATTAAGTGTCAAGTCATACTGATATTTTTAAATAAGTTATATGACATGTCTAAATAATGAATTCTCATTGGATGACAGTAGGGCTGGAAATAAGTCGAGTCGAATCAAACTCGCATCAGCTCGGCTCGACTCGTTAAGAAATAGTTCAAATTAAATTTTGATCTGAGTTTGTCACAAATTTTTTTAACTCAAACTCGACTCGTTACGAGTTCACGAACAACTCGGTTCAATTCGTTAGGTTCAACTCGCTTGCTTCACTTGTTTAAAAGTAGTTTTTTAAAGTATATTTTTTTATATATATTTGACATTTCAAATTAATATTTTTTTAATAAAAATATAGAAATAAAATAAAAGTTATAAAATTGAAATTTATATGATGTTGATTTTATTTATATAATTATTTTTATAAATATTTTTGTTCACTTGAGAATATAAATTATCAATTAAAACCGTTAGATTAAAAGAAAACATTAGGCTAAGATTTAGAATAACTCTTTAAACACACTCTTAAAAACAATATAATACATCTCATATATAGTCGATTTGACTCATGAAGCTAACGAATCTCATATATAGTCGATTTGACTCATGAAGCTAACGAGTCAAACTATGTATAACTCAACTTCAGCTCATTTAGTTAACGAACTTAGTTTTTAGCTCATACTCAGCTCATTTGATTCATGAACCTAGTTCAGCAATTTAATTGTCAAGCCGAATTTCAAATTATTTTCGAGTTGGTTTGGTTCATTGTTAGTCTTAGATGACAGTGTAAAACTATTTTACACTGTCAGTGCACTACCTTTTAACTCATATAATATTATAAGTGAATGTATGTGTCAACATTTTTATCATTATCTCTATATGTATTGGTCAAAAATGATAAGGACGTGCAAGACATCAGACATATTTTTAAACAAAAATAGACACAAACAATGAGTGTTTGACATTAGACATTGAAACGAGTCATACAACCAAGCACATTTCAATCATAAGTGTTGGTGTGTTAGAGTACATAAATATCTCTTGTAAGCGCTTATGTATAAGATATTTTCTAAAACTCTATTTGAAGAACGTATAAAAATGAGATGAAAAAATATCTTATAAACATGTCATAGGTAACTTTCATTAGCAATTTTATATAATTCGATTCAAATAGACTCATATAAACATAAAATTCATAATTTATGTGTTTAATGATAGCTTGAATGCGCCTATTCATGGCAGGCGGCGGCCATTATGTATGTCTTAAACAAGAGAAAGTGTAGAGTCGCCTCTTAAATGAGGCTCTTAAAGGGTCATTTGAGGACTATATAAAAGGGCTCCTGCCAGAGGGATAAGTAAGGCATTCATCTTGGATCAATATGCATCATTATCGTAGCACCCAAATCCCCAAAGGTCATATAAAAATCTACCCTTGTTGCAGCTATGCTTGTTCCTACAAGGAAGTCACTCGTTTAGTATTTTTATGCAAGAACATTTGACACCCATTGTGGGATCTCAGTAAAACTTCCCTAGGCCACACTTCACATTAAGAAAAATATCCTCTGAAGGGGATCCTCCAGACATAGCACAAATACTGACCGAGATGGATGCTCTCTGACAACAGAATGAAACACTGCAAGATAGCTTGCAAATCTCGCAACTGCAAAGCCAAGCGGATGGGGAGTAGGAGAAGGAGATTCTTAAGCCCCAGCCACTCTCGCAAAGGATATGGGACGACCAAGTCCCCGAAAACTTCAAGTCATTATCGCTCACATCTTTTGATGGCAAAACCGTTTCCAGGAGCACATTATCGCGCCAATAATCAAATAGCGATAGTAGGGCCTTCTGACTCGTTAAAGTGTAAACTCATGATAGGTAATTTCAAAGGTGTAGCTATGAGGTGGTACATGAGCCTTCCTCGACTATCTATGGTGAGCTATCAAGACTTGACCAAGAAATTGATACAACACATCTCAGCAAACACACACTGGAAGGTTTCGAAAACTACCTTATTCAATGTTCGACAGGGACATGTGTAACGCCTCGAATTCTAGATTAATTATTTATTTAATTAATTTAGCGTGAATATATGAGTCATTGTGAAGTATTTGATATATATGATATTTTGGTGTTTTTATATGAGTCTTTGTGATGATTTGTGATGTTTCGATGAATATGAGGTATACAATGATGTTGAGATGAATATGCTGGTTAATACAATGTTTTGTGTGGTATGTGATGGAGTAGTGGTGGATTAAGAGATGATAGAGTATTTTAGTAATTTTAGATAATTAGTTTTAATTGTCTAAAATTATTAGTAATTAAATAAATAGAATAAAATATGGTGTAGAGACTATGAGGACAAGGTGGCAATTAGTGAAGAGTTAAGTGAGGACATGATGGGAAGTTCATTATTAGGGGTCCTAAGGTTAAAACAAGGAATAAGGAGAATATTTATTTTTGGATCGATCGTGAAAAATATTGGAAGAGCAGACGCTGTGGAGAAAGAGAGTTTGGGCACAAAGAGGCAATGAGATTTTGTAATAGAATACCAAGAGAAATTTTAAGCTAGCAATAATCTTAAGGTAAGGGTGTATATCATTATTATTATTATTTATCTAAGGTCTATATAATTGTAGATTGTGTTAGGTTTTGGTTGATGATGATTTTATGATGTTTCATGATGAATTGGTGAAATTGTGATGTTTAATTGCAAAGAATTGATGCATATGATGTACGGTATTTCGGGATGTTGTTATATGATGAAACCATGTAAAATAGTGATGTTTAGAAACCTGTAATTTGGTGGAATCGTGAAAAATTGAATTGGTGCAGTGCAGAAATCGCAACAGAGAATTGCAATCTGCTATGCATTGTCGGGCGATGAGTAGTGTCACGTGGTGATGATGGTGTCATTGGGTCATTTCTTGGCGAGCCTAGGTGCGATGGAAGGGTGGAAAAAGTGGATTTACTGGAGTGTGTCACTCCAAGTGTTGTCGGGTGAAGCGGACACAAAGAGTGCGTCACCAGGCGATGAGGTGGTGCGTCGGGCGATAGTGTCCAGAATTGAAGGGTTGTGTAGGATTTTTTTCCATAAGGCCATAACTTGAGTTTTAGAACTCGGTTTGAGGTTTCGTTTGAAGCGTTGGATAGTTAACTCAATTAACATCAATTATATGGAATAAAATGAGTAATATAAAGTATATTTACAGTATCTAATTTAGGATGAAGTTAGGTTTCCCATGTTGGATTACAATGATGCTTTGTTTATTATGATGGTATGATGATGTAATTACGATGCTTTGTTTATTATAATGTTATGGTAAAAAAAAAATTTATTATGATGATATGATGATGTTGTGATGAATTCATGGATGATGATGCATGTTGACTTGTCGTAGTTGTGTTTATATGTTGTTGCACATCATGCATCCATGGCATATTGTATAACTTCGGTTCAGTGATGTTTTACAGGATATTGATCCAATGATGTGTGTAGATTGAGTGAAATTTTGTGAAGTGCTCTGGTTCCAAGTGGGAATCAATCCTATTGGTGGGTATCTTTAGAGATAACGATGACAGATTCATCAGTGAAGTTTTGGTACCACATGCATGAGTCAAATGAAGTGCATTTTCATTATATGTGACATTGTATAATTATTGATTACATGATAATGATGATGTGGTGCTAATTGTGATGCTTGATGATGTGTATTGACATGATGATATAATGATGTGTTTAATATGAGTATATGAAGGTGTGAGTATAACATGAGGATGTAGCAATGTGTGGTTTCTTGTTGTTGTGTCATAACTACTATATTTATTCCTTATGTCTTTTATAATGATTATGATTTACTCACCCTTTCTGTTTGAAAATTGCCTCTACGTGGGTAATGCGCAGGTGATCAGGAGTAATTCATAGAAGCTTAGAGGATATCTTGAGAGTGTGTTTATTTTTATTTTAGTTGAATAAAGACAGTCTTGATCTGATATGTAACATCGTGGTTGTGATTGATTAGTTATGAACCATGCATGATTTTGTTATATTGAGATTTTGTATTACTTTCATGACTTTTGCCATGTTTTGGATCATGATGTTATAAATATAAAGTGTGGTGATTTTATTAATATTTGAACCACCTTTCGTGGTATTGAGATTATTTTATGAATAATTTTAAGACTCTTATTTCCGCTGCAAAGTTCGAAATGAAATGATTATGAATACCAAGGATTCTATTTAAGTTTTAAAATATTGTTGTAACCCGTGTTACAAAGCCGGATTATTTGTTATATGATGCTTATGTGTAGATGTGACATCCTTATTGTTGCTTTACGTTTATTTATTTATTAAAAATATTCATGAAAATCGTGGGGTTCTGGAAGGGTGTTACATTAGTGGTATCAGAGCAGGTCGCTCTGTCCCGCCAGGTTGTTGAGTCTGTAGTGTACGATAGTAGAATATTATCGAGATAGTTTCTAACCATTGTGACTGTTATTTATGTGAAACAGAGAAATGACTAAAAGGAACAAAGTTTCACTTGTTGCTGCTTATCAGGCTATGGCTCAGGCTGTGCAACATCAGCCTAATGATGGAACTCGTGTTTTAGAGACATTTTAGAAGAATCGTCCGCCTAATTTCAAGGGTAGGTTCGATCCTGATGGAGCACGAGTT